TCAGATCCCTTCCACAGCCGGTCCTTCCGGTTGATCAGGTACTCTCTCAGAGGGGCAGCCCTCCTCCGGTTGAGGCCCAGGAGGAGGAGGAAGGGGACTTTGGGGATTTCAGGGAAGAGGAAGAGGACTCCCGGATGGGATCCTCCCGTTACAGTGAACCCCTCTTAGAGGCGGACATCATGGAGGGGGAGATGTCGGAGGACGAGGGGACCTCTCCCGACCAACCCGCATTTGGGGGGCTGTTCAAGCCTCACATGTTTAAATCCCTCCTCCTTAAGGCCAAGAACGTCTCTGGCCTTCTTCCCCAGTCTCCTACTGACCTCCCCCCCGCCCCAGAGGGCCCAGAGGACTCCATTTTCACTCAACCAGTGGTGGAGGCTGAGGTCATCCCGTCCCCACCCATCTTCGTAGACCTAGTAGCGAAACAACTTACTTCCACAGGGACCCCTCCTACACCCTCTAGCCAAGACAAGAGATTCTTTAATCTCGATTCGGCAATGTCTAGCCTTCTGAACATACCGGAGGTTGATGATCCCATTGTGGGCCTTGCTTCCTCCTCTACCCCCAGTGAGGCCTTAGAGGCCTTGAAACCTGAGGACAAGCGGATGGAACTGGCGTTGCGCAGGGCCCATCTATCCGACGCCTGGGCCATTAAATCGGCTACGGCCACGTCATTCTTCACAAGGTCCTCCATCCGCTGGCTACGTCAGCTCAGGGAACACGTCCCCACGTCCAATGTGAGAGCACACCAGGACATAGCGAAGCTGGTGGCTGCAGCCGAGTTCTCGGCTGACGCCACTTACCAATCGGTAAAGTTCTCTTCCAGGGCCATCACGTCGCACGTCACGGCTCGCCGCCTGTTGTGGCTCAAACACTGGCAGGCGGATGTAAAGAACAAGGTCAAGCTGGCCACTGCTCCCATCAAGGGAGATAAACTGTTTGGCCCGGCCTTGGAACCCCTGCTGGTCGAGGGCCGCAGCAAGAGGAAGTATCTGCCCTCCCTTTTTCGACGGTCAGAGACAAGGGGCCCACAGCCCTTTCGGAGGGGCTTCCCCCGCCCCTTCTACCAGCCCCCCTTCCCACCCAGATACACCAGGCCCCCTTCCTTCCGATCCCAGGATCGTTCGGACTCTGGCAACAGAAACAGACGCGGTGGCAACTATAAGAGGCCTTTTCGGGGATCGGGAGGAAGGCCCTACCGCCGAACCAGATAGAGCCTCTCCCTCCCTCCCCATTGGCGGCCGCCTCAGTCACTTTGCCGCCCAATGGTACAAATCCACATCCGATGCATGGGTTAGGGACACCGTCAGGTTTGGTCTCGCCCTTGAGTTTAGGTCCACCCCTTCTGATTGTTTCATCCCATCCCCCACCTCAAGGGATCCCACCAAGCGTGCACTAATGGATGCAGCCATCCATCATCTGCTTGACATCCAGGCCATTCAACCCGTCCCACCGGCTCAGAGAGGAAGGGGATTCTATTCCCATCTCTTTGTGGTGCCCAAACACTCTGGGGGCTGGAGAGCCATACTAGACTTGAAACGGCTCAACCGTCACCTTATCCAGCGCAAATTCAAAATGCACACCTTGCAATCAATTCTCTTAGGTACCAGGCGGGGAGACTGGTTATCTTCCATAGATCTTTCGGAGGCATACCTCCACATCCCAATCAGGCCCTCTCACCACAAATTCCTCAGGTTCTGTTATAATAGCCTTCACTATCAATACGTGGCCCTACCCTTTGGACTGGCCTCGGCCCCCAGGACCTTCACCAAGGTCCTTGCGGCCCTGGCGGCTCACCTTAGGAGCATCCCCGTTCGCCTCCACTGCTACTTGGACAATATCCTTATTCTATCCCCGTCCAAGTCCCAGGCAGTCAGGGATACCAGAGTCACCCTCTCCGCCCTACGGGCACACGGGTTCCTAGTGAATTGGCAAAAGAGCCAACTTACCCCATCTACCCGAATCACCCATTTGGGAGCCATAATTGATTCGGTTTCACAAAGGGTTTTCCTCTCTTCGGAGAGGTTCCTTAGCATTCAAGCCCTGGTCAAACAGGTTAGGCGTTCAAGGAGGGTGGCCTTACTTGACCTTTCTAAATTGTTGGGTAAAATGGTGTCATGCATCTCAATCATTCCCTGGGTCCGTTTACACAGCAGATCCCTCCAGTGGTTCCTGCTCCCGTTCCAAAGATCCGGAAGGAGCAACTCGAAGGCCAGAGTCAAGGTTCCTCCAAGGGTCCTCACGTCTCTCCTCTGGTGGACCAACCCCGCCATCAACAGGGGCCACCTCTTCACGGAACCTCAACGGCTTACCATCACTACGGACGCAAGCCTATCCGGTTGGGGCGCTCACGTCAACTCGCTCTCGGCACAGGGCAAGTGGTCGCCGATCGAGCAAAGATGCAGCATCAACTGGCTGGAGCTTCACGCCGTCCACCTGGCCCTGTGCAGCTTCCTCCCTCAGGTCCGCGGACATCACGTTCTCATTCTCACGGACAACGTCACGGCCAAGGCCCATATCAACAGGCAGGGGGGCACCCAGTCTATCCAGCTGATGAGGGAGGCCGAGCGTCTCTGCCGATGGGCAGAGTCCAACCTCCTATCACTAAAAGCCGAACACATCTCCGGAATAGACAATACTCAGGCGGACTGGCTGAGCAGGGCCACGGTGGACCAAACAGAATGGCGTCTCCATCCATCCCTGTTCAAAGAGGCGTCCAGAATATTCGGCCTGCCAGTGGTGGATCTCTTCGCCTCCCCGTCCAACACGCAGCTTCCACGGTTTTTCTCCAGGTACCCGTCCCACGGGTCGGAGAATCACAACGCACTGCGCTGCCCATGGCCCCCAGGGCTCCTATATGCCTTCCCTCCGCTCCCGTTAGTTCCCAGAGTCATACAGAAACTCATACAGGAGAGAGCAGACCTTCTTCTGGTGGCTCCCTATTGGCCCAGGCGACCATGGTTTGCGGACCTCCGCAATTTATCGGTAGCGCCCCCATGGCGGATCCCCCCGGACAGGGTCTCCCTCTCTCAGGGGCCCCTTCTGCATCCGGAGCCTCAATGGCTCCAGTTAGCCGTCTGGAGGTTGAACGGATCCGTTTGACCAGCGAGAAACTCTCCAGTCAAGTCATCGACACTATTTTGGCCGCTAGGAGACCCTCCACCACACGAATTTATGATGCCACTTGGAAGGGGTTTTGCAAGTGGTGTAGTGGGTCCCAGGTTGACCCCCTCTCTCCTTCTATTGCACAGATCCTGGAATTTCTCCAGGAAGGCCTTCGCAAAGGGCTTGCACCTAACACCCTGAGACGGCAGGTTTCTGCCCTCTCAACCGTGGTCTCCTGTGATAACTACGGTTCCCTTTCTCATCACCCCCGGGTTAGATCCTTCCTTAGGAGCGCCACCAACCTGTGCCCTCCCACTGTTCACAGGTTCCCCACATGGGACCTCAACAAAGTCCTCATTTCTCTTACACGTCATCCGTTTGAACCTCTGAGGGAGTCATCCCTTCAATTTCTCACCTTTAAAGTAGTTTTTCTAGTGGCTATTACTTCTGCTCGTCGAGTTTCAGAAATAGCAGCTTTGTCAGTTAGGAGTGATCTATGCGTGTTCCACGCTGATCGGGTGGTCCTTCGTCCCGACCCCACATTCCTACCCAAGGTTAACTCACCCTTCCATAGGTCACAGGAGCTGGTCCTACCAAACTTTTGCCCCAGGCCCTCGAGGGACAGGTAGGTCCTTTGGCACACCCTAGATGTTAGTAGGGCCTTGCGTATATATATTAAGCGCACTCAATCCCTGCGAAGATCGGAATCCCTTTTCCTCTCCTTTCAGCCCAGGGCACTGGGGCTCAAGGTCTCTCCCTCCACCATCAGTCGTTGGATCAGGGCGACTATCGCCAGGTGCTACCTTTCTCAATCACTGCCCGCACCTGGTGGAATAACCGCCCATTCCACCAGGAGTGCAGCTACCTCGGCGGCCTGGGCCACGCAAGCCCCCATCGCTGACATTTGTCGGGCAGCCACCTGGGCCTCCCTGTCCCCGTTTATCAGACATTACAAAATAGATACGTATGCCTCAGCGGAGGCCTCTTTTGGCCGACGGGTCCTACAGAGGGTCATCAGTGACCCGGAGGGGCTTCCGGCCCAGACGGAGTCCCACCCGTAGGACAGCCAAGCTTTGGTATGTCCCACTCTCTGGATGCTCCGAGCGGCTCGAGGGAGAATGGGCGTTGGTTCTTACCTGATACGCCCCTTCTCAGCGAGCCGCGAGGAGCATCCAGCCCCACCCTAGCTTCTCCGTCTGGTGGGGACTCTTGTTTCAGCCAAGGAGCCAATAGTTGATTAGAAGGAATTCATAACCTCTCTTCTCGTTATCGCAAAAAACTGGGGAGACGCTGCGCGGTGTCACGTGAGGGGGGCGGAGCGTTTCCTCATCTAAAGCTCAGCCTGCAAGAAGAGGACTCAGAAGCACATCCCACTCTCTGGATGCTCCTCGCGGCTCGCCGAGAAGGGGCGTATTAGGTAAGAACCAACGCCCATTCTTTCCTGGAGTCAATAACATAGAGTATAACAATAGTTGCAAACAGTGCCATCTACTGGCTGAATACCAATGTAGTTGTTGCACAAATTCTACATTCCAACAGACAAAATCTTGGAAATTCAAGCAAACTATTTGAATCCTTAAAGATATTTGAATCCTTAAATATATATTCTGACTACCTGCAGGGAGCAGTTGACATGACTTTCTTCCTCCCAACCAAAGTATTTAAATTTCACTGTCTCTAGAATGCCGTTCCACCCTCCTGGGAATCTGCACTACATTTCACCACACTAGTAAAAATGTGCATTAAAAATCATCCCTGTGTTTAAGAGGCTGATAAAGCTACTATAATTTACATAACACCATATTCTTGGTTTCTCATGTTAGAAAAATGATTGACATTGACTATAGATAGCTGACAAAACATTGTTGAATAGCTATAATTTTATATACCTCCAGGTTAAATACATTCGAAATGTCCCTGACTTTGATACTGATGAATTCTTTGACAGATGTGCAGACTATCTGAATCAGAATCACATTTGTGACAGTTTTGGTGAGTTCTTCAGGATCATTGAGGTTTGGAGTTTTCTCAGCTCATTTATTGTTATTATTCCATTGCAGTTGATTTTCTAACCTAATTGAAATAACATCTCAGTCTTACAATGGTGTAGGAAAGTTTCATTCTAAAATTTATCAGAGAGTTTAGATTGCTTTGCTCATTAATAAAATATAACAGCATTTTCTTTATATCAAGAACAAATCTATGTAACTAAATATACGAGACATGCATTTGGCAATAGAATGCTGCTTCCATTTCCCAAGTACAACTAACCAACTATAAAATTAACCAGGAACTTCTTTTACGTGTGTTTTGAATACATAGAAGGGGAAGTGAAAAGTGACTGTACTAGCTGCCCACATTACAGAACTGTTATGGTTGCTATATGATTTCTATATTAAATTGAAAATATGAGAGGATTCACAACTCTTTTCAGATCAAAATTACTCAGAAAATGATGCCACTACTACAACTTACACACACACACACACACACACACACACACACACACACACACAGAGTGGTGGGATTCAGCCAGTTCTCACCAGTTCACCCGAACCAGTAGCTAAATTTTTCTGCAGTTTGGTGAACCGGCTGATCCCACCACTGGCTGTCTCCCGCCTGTCCTTCCCTTCCTCCCATGGGTGTGGCAGAGAGAAAGTCAAGCCAAGGCTGAACTGCTGCTGCTCACAGCCCACATCTCACCCTCCCTGTCCGGACTCTCTGCAGCTGCCGGGCCTCACCTACCATGGCTGCCAGTGGGAAGGGGGTGGCCAGGGACCACGAGACTGTGCCACCCACATCACCTCTCTGCCAGCCAGCCCCCACCCACCCACTAGCCCATGCCCTTCAGCTGAGCACAGCCCTTACCTTTGCAGGCAGCCATGGTGAGGAGAGCACTGTGAGCCCCATGGGCTGGAAGGTAAGGCCGATGGTGGGGGAGGGAGATCCACTCTGGGCCTGCTGTGCTCAGCTGGGCCACATTTGGGGGGAAACACAGCTTTGGCCACCTTTTGGGCCCTGCTCTCGGCTTCCACAAGGCCAAAGACACCCTCCATGAAGCCCTCCCTGGGGAGCAAAGCCTTGGACAATCTGATCCATACCAAAAGCCTTGAGGGACTCCAGAGTTTCCATACACCTTCGCTGGCCAAGCATCTTGCTCTTCAGATCTCAATGGAGACAGCACCCAGCAGCGGTGCTCTGGCTGTTTGGTGGGCAGATGTCCCGGGGCTGCATGTGCGTGGATTTGGAGTGGATTTGGCCCCAGTGTGGCACTCTCCCCCAAGGACTGCTTGCTTGCCCACCCACTGACTGAGCTGGCTCAGAAGTGGTCCATCCCCCCATCGTGGCTGGATGTAGGACCTGAGGTGGAGGTGAAGGTGAGCAGGCAGCAGCTGCCCTGAGGCCCGTGGAAGCTGAGAGCTGAGCCCAAAAGGTGGCCAAGCCAAGCTATCTCCCCCTGAGGTGGCCCACACCCTTTGACCAAGTGTGGTGGGCCTAGAGCAGGTCTTCCTTCCTACCATTGGCCTTACTTTCCAGCCAGCAGGGCTTGCACCTTTCTGCTCACCATGGCTGCCTGCAAAGATAAGGGTTGCGCTCAGAAGGTAAGGCCAAAGGCAACCTGCACCCAGAGCATCTCCTCAGCCTAGGAAGGAGTAAAAAGGCCCCGATCTTTACACTGGAGAAGGGTAATGGAAGGTTTTCAGTGCAGGAACATCGCTCAGATACCCCCCCCCACTGCCTCTCTCTGACAGTTTGTGGCAGAGCAACTCCACCCTCACTGGGCATTAGCCAAAGGGAAATAGCCAGAACAGGATGTGGTGGGAAAGCCTTGTGGAAAAATACACAGGCCGGGGAGGCGAGCTGCATATGGAAGATGTACAGCCCAGGAGAGTCTCTCTCTCTCACTGATCCCCAGTTTATGGGAGAGATGGAAGGGTCAAGAAGTGGGATGGAGAAGGGAGTGGAGCAGCCAGTCTCCTCTTGCAAGGTTGGAAGCAGCCGAAGTCTGCTTCCTCTCCTCCCCACCCATATTCTGCCTGCATTGCAATACCCGGGGGACTTGCACCTGAGAGAGTTTGGTGGCGTCCTGGGGTGCAAAATCAGTTTTCATTTATTTGCGCAAAAGGGGAGAAGTGCGCAAGGGATGCAGACATATTAGCTTGTGATCCTCAAAGCAGCCAGATTGCAGGGTGGTGCAGCCCTCAAAGCCAAAATGGCTGGTTTCCCAACCTTTTTTGAGCTTAGCCTAACAATAGAAACATAAAGCTGGAGCTGTTGCATATCAGCCTGGCTGCAGTTAGGAACCCAGCCAGTTCTAGTGGTCTGTCCCCAATGGCATGCTCTCCAGTGGTGTCTGACTACAGTGCCCATCACTCTCTCCCAGCTAGTTAGTTAATTTGAGTATAATACATAGATCTGGCTTAGGGAGATCTCAGGATAAAAGGCACTTCGTTAGGATGGTTCCAGGTTTTCCAACTGGGGGCCCCCTATTTTGATATATGCCTCTAAGAAAGGGGAATTTCAAGGAGTGGGGAAGTCCCTCTCATCATTTTTACCCACAGTAACATTGAGTTACTCACTCAGTCACATGATCACCCACTCACATCTACCCAGCTGGTCATTAGGGCAGAGAACTGGTTGTTAAATGATTTGAATCCCACCACTGCACACTCGCACATATTCACAAACACAGACATTCACATACGATGCCAGAATCACATCCCTGCCCCTCTGAACATTAGCAGAAAAGCATAGTGTGCACCAATTCAACAACACATAAATATACCAATGTTGTGTTTCATCAAGAGTCTCATAGTGTCAGTTCCCCCCCCCCAATCTTTCCTTGCCAGAGATTTTGAGAACAGCCTCTATGTTGGGTCCAGATGAAGAACTTGAAAAACGCCTGCGAAAATATGTGATGAAGAATGTCCTGAAGAAGGTACTTCAGCAAATGCTTAGTTACCAGCAATTTCATATGAATATAATTAATGTAACACTTTCTACAGAGGAAATGCTACTACAGGAATGGTATTATTATTCTCTGTGATTTTTTTAATGGAATGTTTCCTTATTATGAGGAGTTGACCATTTACTCTGGATATTCTGAAAAAGAACATGAGGTTGGGAAATAAGGATTTCATGTTTACAATTTCCTTGCAAACCTTCTTCATCAATATTCCTGGAAGTGTTCAAACTGAGTTTTCCCATTATGTATTTATTTTTCCCCCAGAATCCCAATTCATAAAGATACTGAATGGCCTTAAAAATTACTGTCCATTACACAATGGTCTCTCTCTGCCCAATTGTTTCCTAATGTAGAAGCACTAGAAGAAGGATCACCTGTGTTCCACTTTCCATCTCTATTCTGTTATGATTATGTACATAAATGGGTTAAACCTGAAATAATGAAAGGCCACTCCTTTGGGACTATGCTAAGTATCCAACATGTTTCCAATGACTCCTGAAAGTTGTGTGATAGAGATTCAGATAATGTAGATTGATGCTAGTAGCTCCTTTTATCTCTTAAAAGTTCATAAAATCATAGGGCTGGAAGGGACCTTGGAGGTCTTCTAGTGCAAACTCCTGCCCAAGCAGGGGTGGGATTCTACCTAGTTGGACCGGTTCTATAGAACCAGTTGTTACAATTCTACGCAGTTTGGAGAACTGGCAAATCGTGCCACTGGCTGCCCCTCCCCCTCCCCTCCCCACCCAGTCACTCCTTACCTGGCATGCGTGCCATCGAACTTGCTTGCTTGTGCCTTTGCCTAATTTTTGGTAAGTTGCTATTTTTCCTCCCCCCAACAATCAGCTGTTTTGACTATCAGCTGTGCCAGGAGATTTAGATTAGCTAGAAAGCAGGAAATTGTTGGATTTCTTGCTTTCTAGCTAATCTAAATTGCTGTTGTACTGCTTTGCCTTTGCCCAGGAGGCTTCCCTGAGAGGCCCAGTCAGGGGTGGTATTCAGGGGGTTGTGGGGAGGGGGAGGAATGGCTTGAGAGCAGAGCTGAACCTTCCTTAAGACTGAAACTTCTATTTTTCAGTGCAGACTCAGGCAGCAGATTGCAGAAAGATAGATCTCTGTGTGAATCTGTGATTCACTATATCTGTGACTGTTTCCTAGTATGATTTGATTGTTTATTGTACCCTATGACTATTATTAAGTGCTGTACCTTATATTCTTGACTCTTGACAAATGTATCTTTTCTTTTATGTACACTAAAAGCATTTGCACCAAGACAAATTCCTTGTGTGTCTAATCATACTTGGCCAATAAAGAATTCTATCTATCTATCTATCTATCTATCTATCTATCTATCTATCTATCTATCTATCTATC